TATATATAATGTCTTGATATTGTTTAATGCGTAAATGTTGATATATGTTTACGAATTATTATATGTCCTTTGTTTGCATAAATTCGCAAATTTAACTGGCAAATGAAGTTAACTTACAACTTATTAACTTTAATATTGCAATATAAATGATTATTTTTGTTTTGTAAAGTTCAAGACATGGAACAAACGGAAACTCTAACCTCTAAACAAATCATCAATGAAAATGTGGACAACAATGAATTAGAGATTGAAGAGCCTGGTATATTATCCATGGCCTCAACTTCCAAATTACCGTTTATTTTAACAGGAGAATTTTTTGAAGTGACGACAAACTCTACTGATCAGAAAATAATAGCGCAGTGCAAAAATTGTCCTAAAACTATAAGTGGTTCAAAAACTTCTACAGGAAATTTTGTCAGTCATTATAATGTAAGTCTACATATTCTATATTTTTATTTGTTCCGCACAACATACCTCATCCAAGAGACGTTGTATAAACATTACGATATCTACACTACGTCATATAAATATTATGATATTTACAATGTTCGGATGAGATGTGCTGTGTATTGATTTTTAAATAAAAATTTTTTTACTTTAAATTGCTGTTATATTTTGCTATTTTCTTTCTTTTTTAGAGAATACATCCTCATTTAATAAATCAAATAAAATTTAAAAGATTAGAAAACAAGAAGTGTAGAACAGATATAAGGCAACAAAGTATTATACCAATGATGCAAAATAGATTACTCATTACAGCAAACAAGGTAAATATTATTTAACATATTTAAAGAGAAAAATTTTTAGATGCTAATGTTGATGAACAAAGAATAAATTATTTTCTTTTCTTTATTACAGGTACACAATTTAATTTTAACTTATTTAATTGAAGAGATGCGACCTCTAAATACTATCAACAAACCGTCATTCAGAAACTTAATCTGTGGATTGATAAGTAGCAATGAACCTGAAAAAATTCTACCTGGAAGAAAAGCTCTATCTACTGAAATTAATAACGCCTACAAAGAAAAAAAAACGAACTTAAAAGAATTATTACAAAAGCAAGCGTATATTTGTTTAACTGCTGATATTTGGTCGTGTCGCAACAAAAGTTATTTAGGAATGACCGTTCATTTTATTTTAGAGACATTTGAAAGAAAGTCTTATACATTAGCTTGTAAGAGAATACTTTATAATCATACTTACGAAAATATTGCGTTAGTTATATAGTATGCATCACATATTAACAGAATTCAATTTAGATATATCTAAAGTTACTCACGTAGTTACTGATAATGCTACAAATTTTGGTAAAACTTTTAGATGCTTTGGTGTTACCAAACTTGA